AAGTACACATCTCCTTTTAATGAAGAAATTGATAATGGCTTTCATTGTGACACTGAGCACAGCCCTGCTCACAGAGTGCCCTTACTTATTTGCATGTTCTGAAGTTCTGTTTGACGTTTCCTCCTTGTTCAGATGCTGCGATCCTAATCAGCACTGTCAAGCTTTGAGATGCAGGATGTCAGAACAGAGTTCATTATCCTCTCAGGGTGCAATTACTTGTTGGCTCTTGGGAGTGAGAGGTTTTTGTGTGTCCCAAGAACTCATATCCTGAAGAGAGAATAATCAAAGCAGCTCCTTTTGGCAGTGTTTCCAAAATGGCTTCTAGCTCGGATTACAATTGATAGGGTTTTTAATTTATGGGAATTATCTGATCTCTTGCTTTAGAAACAAGATGGTGTAGATAGATGCATTTATTGTCCATATTCTTTGGACGTTTTCTTGTTTCATTTGATTGTGTCTTGTTTCATTTGATTGTGTGATGATACTGTATATAAGGATGTGAGAAACTTTATTACATAAAGCCTTCTCATCTGTCTTCTAAATGCTTTCTTTCTCACTGCCACTCTATTTTCAGTTCACTTTGAATAGTTTTTCCAGTGATAGCTTTCTGCTAAAGCCTGTGGTATTCTAAATTTGACCTTTCCCCCCTCACTTCAAAGGTTGTTTACTGAAATTCTCAATAAGAATTATGTTAAGGAAGAAAATTGAGATTTGGTTCAGCAAAACTGATTTAGCTGCCTTTGTATTTGGGGAAGGCAGCCTCCTTCTCTTACTGCACATAAACCAGCAAATTTTGGCCTAAGCAAGAGATGATTTGGTTATTCATCTGGGCAAACATCCCTTCTACCAACATCTTGAAGACTTCTAAAGACTGAGAACCAGATACCCTTACTCTCAGTGTAAGTTTTTGAGGCATCCCAATTCACTCAGGCATTCCCAATGCTTATTTTAACATATGTATTAAAACAAGTTCTTCTGGGCCTTGTTTTTCCTAGCAGGTTTCTTGTTGAGTCTTTTAGTGCACATGAAATACATCTGCTCAGCCTAAACGTTAATTTTGTTCACTTTGTCCTGAGAGATACAGAAGTGTGACCTGTCTGTAAGGGGTTGTTCATATGTGAAACTCGTGTGACTGTTTCACTGTGTTGATGATGATTCTCTGTTGTAATGAGCTGTTTTCATCACCAGGTTACCTGATCATGACGGATGACTGGTTCTCTGAGTATGTGTATGAAGTTGTGGTGGACAAGAAGTACGTGCCAGAAGATGTCTTGGCAGTGATGGAGCAAGAACCCATTGTTTTGCCAGCATGGGACCCCATGGGGGCCTTAGCCAAGTGAACTACAGAATATTTGCCTCTTAATGGTCAACCAGATTAGATGCAATAGAGAACCCAGTGGTTGGAAGCCATAGCCAAATGATAATGTGACCAAGCACTCAGCATGGTCCACATTCTTGAAAAGTAAGTTAAGGATCTTTGGGAAATAGCGCTTTACTGACTTGGCTGAATTAAAGCTCTCAGACAGGATGCTCTGCAAAATTAAAAAAGGAAAAGGAAAAAAAAAAATTTGCAATGAAATATATTACAAGTGCTGTCAGTGGTGGTTTGGTTTTATCAATTTTAAATTAAGAAACAATCAGCATAATAATAAAGTAGAACCATTTTGACCAGAGTTTTCCCTAGAAAAGATGATGGTAAAAGGCTATTTTTTAGTGTTAACAGCTTGGTGTTGGAACAAACATGTCAAGATACTTATAGATTAACCATTTGTGGTCTATCTTATACCACAAAAGAATGCCCAAGGTATTTTATACACTTTCATTTTTAATTCTCTTAAAGGAGGAAGTTTTCAAGGGTACGTATTGCTGAAACTGCAGAAGCTTAGAGAAGGTTTACCTTATTTACCCTTAGAAAACTTATCTTCCAGCAGCACTGGGGAAAAATAACCTGAGGTTTCCAGTTTCACTTGTTTTTATTCTTCAGTTACTGAGCTAGGATTGGATAACACATATCAAGGCCCATCATGTCTGTGTGCACAGGAGCGCTATTTTTCAGTTACATTAGCAAGAACAACCATAAATGTTCATGGATGGAGTTAGTGTCATGCTGAACAGGAAAAAAAAATTAATTGCTGCATTTTATTTGGATGTTTTCAAAAACAAGATGGTGCTATGAAGCTTTTGAATAAACAGTTTCTTAAGTGACTGGTACAGCTCTGGTTTCTTTTTTGAGCCCTGCTGAATTGGAGAAATTACAAACAAATGTGAGTGGGCTGGTATGAGGACAGGAAACATGCTGCTTTATGTTGTCTGAAGTAGACACAGTTGCTTTTCTCACTGAACAAATAAACACTGCATCATGTGCCATGGGCTCTCAAATAGTTTGGTGATGAGCACAGTTCTAATCCTTCGATTGAAATGCATGGAATGGTGGACTGTCTTTATGTAACCTGACAATTGTCCTGTTGTGTGTTGAGTTTAGCCATGAGCAAATAAGAGGGTAAGCAAGGTAATGGGACACACTGCCAGCTCCTGAGCTGGTAGATAAATGTTTGTTATGGCTGTGGTACTCTGCATCTTGGTTTGACTTTGCTTTTGTTTGAACTACACAGGTAGAAAGCTATTATGAAGTATATACATCTTACACAAGTTATACAAATGTGTGTATGTGTACATATATATTAAAAATACCAAGCTCAAGCATGCCTGCATGTTGCTGCTAAACTAAATCCGTGTTAGGGCTTGTCTGGGGGTCACCCAAGCTGATAAAACTTGCAGTCTGCATTTCTGGTAGTGTGCAGGAATGCTGGCTGGATGGGAAGCAACTGAGTATGGAACAGAGTGGGGTTGGTTGTTACTCCCATTGAATGATGCTGTTTAAAAGGTTGGATCCTGCAATATTCCTTCGAAAGCAACAAAGCTGTTCTGGAGATCACAGAATATACCTGCAGTAGTGTGGTGTTACCATTTGATGTCCTTTCTAGCAAAATTCAGTTCATGTTATCCTGAGCTTCTGCCAAAAGTTTTTATCTTGGGTACAAACTAACACTGCTTTCAACTTGCTTTTTCTACTAGCAAGTCATCCAATAACAAAGCTATACCTTTGCAATCAGTTTCACTAATTAGAGGATCTCCAAATTAATGAAGAAGAGTTGGAATAGATTGCCTGAGGATGCAGTGCCTCCCTCTGTTGGTTAGAGGCCGTGGTGAGGGGTTGCAGACCGGTGTTTCAGAAGTGGATGGAATGGATCCTTCCTTCTGGCAAAGGGGTGGCAGGCTGATCCGAGGTGCCCCATGGGTCTGTGATGTGCAGCCTCTGCCTTGTGCTGTGTTAATGGCATCATGATGAGTAAACAGTCCTGTGCTCCATGCTGAACCCTGGTGGCTCTGAAACAAAGCCAAACCTCTTGGGAAGCTGTGTTATGTGCAATGTTTTCCTTATGAGTAACGCCTGTTGGTTTGGGGGCTTTTTTTTTCCTGTGGAAAGGTCAGTATTTTGGTCTTTCAAAATCAGATTGTGATGTGACACTACTTCTTCCTTTACACCACCTACCTACTACTGTAGCCACCAAGGAGAGCTAATTTGTTCTCCAGAGTTCAGCTGGTGAACTTCTGCTGCCTGTGGCAGCTCTGATGGCGGTGATAGAGCTTGACAAATTAAGACTTGTTTCCAAGCCAATTTTGCTGTTAATTTTAGTATTTAAAGATATTGTCCAGTGTGTGCTTATCTCTGGAGTCCTTACCCAGATATTTCCCAGTACAGCTTATACAATAGTACTTTTTTTTTTTCCTTTCCTTCAAATAAGCACAGAAAATCCACATGCCTAAAACACATAATAGGAAACAAAGCCAATCTGGCAGAAGCAGTTTTGCATTCATGTCTGGCTGTTTTATAAGATCTCTGTAAGGGGGAGTAAGAAGGGAAATGCATATGTCAAAGAGCAGAGTTTCTGTCTTGAGAACTCCAAGGGCAGCTGAACAATTGGCTTTAAGGCTGCTGATCATGACTGTCTGTAGTTTAAGGCATAATGCAAGCTAAGATGTTCTGTTATGCTGCCTGGCAAAAAGGTTAACAGAGTGAGAAACAAGAAGCAATTCTTCACCTCTGTTTCGGTTCAGTTTGGTTGGTTTATATCCTTTGCATGCTCCTAAGAAGACCTTTGGAGTTTGGTGGAAGCTGGGCAGCTAGCAGATAATTTCCTCCTCCCATTTCTGCCAATAAAACCATGCAGTGGCAATTCAAAGGCAGTTCCTATGACACTTGGAAAATATTGACGGATGTTATGAAAGTCAGCTAGAGTAGTTTCAGTTAGGAGTAGGAAAATAACACACTGCTAACTCAGAAAAGGCAGTGGCCAGGGGAGAGGCTGCGTACGGTGTTGGTGTGTAGATTCGTGGCATCAGATTTCCCCTTCTGAATTCTCTCAGCACAGTTCTGATGCCAACAGAACACCCCCCAGGCTCCCCAGCTGCCAGGTGGACATCCCAGCATGTTCGCTTAGAAATCAGCAAGGAAGGACAATCAGAATTTCTTTTATCCCAAAGCCAAACGTAATAGCTTCTAAATGCGATCTGGCTCCTAACTGAGCAAAAGATAGCAAAGTAAATAATTTAGGATTTGTTTCGTGTTATTTGTGAATTGCTCCTATCCTCTTATTGGTGGTGAAGCAGAGACATGCTCACAGAGCTGGTGTTAATCTCTTGGTGCAGCTGGCATTGCTGTTGTTAGGTCACTTTGCTGATGATTCCCATTCCTCTGCTGCTATACTGGTGGCTGGAATTACTGCTGCTTTACCTGGGGAGTGCTGTAGAAGAATTTGAAGTTATATCATGCGTGAGGTCCAATTTAATGCTTTTGATCATCTGTACCTATCCTAAACCACAGGATTTTGCAAAGATTCCCTGAAATTCAGTGCAGCACCTAAAAGAATGTCACGTGGGATAAGTATGTTTCATAATGGTGATGGGTCAGCTGAAGTCTGAGGTCTGTTACTTGCATTATGCCCCGAAGGCTCCAGGCTTCTGGCAAGAAATTAAAGAACAACAAACAGACACTGCTGCAGAAGACATTAATAAAAAAAGAAGGAACTGAACGGCCAGCATAAGTCATGAAAGGTGGTTCTGTGCTCTTAACATGCTGTTTTTCACATTACAGCTTCGTATATCCCACAAAAAATGGTTGAACACTCACACTGGGTGCCACTGCTAAGGGCAGATGAAAGCGGAGCAGCTGCCTGCTGGACGTTACGCAGCTGTGCTCAATGTTCCCTGAGTGGGAGAAGGAGATGCAGAAGCCTCAAAGTTACAGCACTAAGACTTTAGGAAGATGCAGTTTTGCACAGAGGTGGTGTTTCCTGCAGGAGGGAAGACGAGATAACAGGTGAACATGTGTTGCAGTCTCCCAGCAGAGTGAGATGGAAATCTGTATGAAAAGGCACAGAGCCCTCATCCCATCCCTCCTGGGGCACAGCACTGTGGTCCTGCACTACAGCACTGTGCTGTGACCTTTAGAGGGGTTTGGTGGGCAAGATGTGATGGTCTTTGTGCTCAGCAGGACGGGACAGAGAGGATCGTGGATGATTGCAGGTGAGGACACTGATTTGCTCTGCAGCTCAGCAGAGTTTACCACCACCCAAAGTGTTTGCATTGGAAGGAGCACAGCAGGGGAGTATGGTGCAACAAATGAGCTCCCTAGCACTATGTGAGAACAGCAAATAGCTAAGGCAACAATGTTAATTGACGAAACGTTTTTGATGCACTGCCACAAGAATTAATGGAAAATAACGAACTGTTTTGATACGTTTGTAATCGCAGTACCGGAGCCATCCTTGAGATGGTGCCAGTGACACAGTGCTGCTATGGAGAGGGGACCCGAAAAAGGAACGCGCTAATTATAACCCTGCGCTTTTCATTTTTAACAGTTTTGTGTTTGTTTTTTTCCCCCCACGTAATTGTTTGGAACAAGTCTCTCAAGCTGGCAGCCGCTCGCAGCACCGCGCTGCCGCTGTACTGTTAACTCTTCTTCCTCGTCCCCGCTCTGCTTCTCCCCCTTTCTTTGTCACACCAAACTACAGCGCTGTTTCGTTGACCTGCGATCCACGGCCCTTTAGAAACAAAATGTAAAGTTGAGAAGGGAAGAAATGCCGCTTTAGTGGGGTGGGTTTGGTGGTGGGGTGAGCGGCAGCCCGGCGTGGATGCACCACAACACTTCCTAAAGGGTTTGTGCTCAAACTGAACTTCTTACCATCTCCTCGTTAAAATGATATCAATGCGTGGCAATTACATTCCTTCCGAGCTCTCTTAACGTGATGATAGACATCTCTGTCCCTTCTTTCTCCACCTGCAAGCAGCACCTGGCCCCATGTGTGCTCCCTGTTCCAGCTGTCACAGCACCGCTGAGCCGCTCCCCTCGCCCTCTGCCTCCATTGGATCACGTTCCTTCCAGCAGCTCAAGTGGAGCCACCCACCTCTAGGAGGAAAACCGAGCTGCAGCCCTGGTGAAACATAAAGTTTATTTCACTAAAGTGACGCAAAAATTCTTAAAGAGCTCTTTGGCAGCAGATTATCTGCAAATCAGACCATGTGAGGGGGACTGGTGTACAAAAAGCTCCCCGAGGTGCTGCGCTGCACACAGGCTGCGTGCTGGGATCTGCAGCAGATGTGGGTGAAGGAGAGCTGTGAGGAAAGCACTGCACACCTGGGTGAAGGACAGGTAAGGGAAGGATCGGTGCTTCTGGTGTGAGATGCCTTCTGGAATCCAGGCAGGCTGTTAGGAGGTGTCTGAGCAGCCGTCCTGCACACGAGTGTTGTTAACTTGGACTTCTTGTTGCCTCTTTTAACTCTGTCTCTAAAGTCTGAAATACTAACAGCAGCCTGTTGGTTAGCATATATATATGTGTGTGTGTTCATTGTTCCATCTTTAACTTTTAAGTCTTGGAGTAGCTCCTAAAGCAGAGTCAAAAAGAACAAGAGACAAAGCTTTGCGTAAAGCAAGGCTACGGAGTGTGGATGTGGGGTGAAAGTTTGCTTTGGCTTTTACACTGCTCGTGTCTTTTCTTGCTTTTCTGCAATGTGCCCCCATCCTGTGCAGGCACTTGTCTGCACTCAGGGCTGTGGGGAATGGGACACCTGTAGCACTGTGCTGTGCCAGTCTGGAATCTGAGGTTTGGCCGCCACATCAGTGCATTACTAAAGCAGGATTTATAGAAAAACTGAAAAAAATAAAAATAAAAAAGCTATAAAGTATAGCTTTATACATATTCTGTATAAAAAAAAAATACAGAAAAGCAGCAGATCTGAAGCAGAAAGAAAATAATAAAAAAAATTCCTTGCAAGCTGTTATTTCAGAAGAATAAAGGACGCTTTAGCAACTACATGAAATTATGCTTTAAAAGATAAACTGTTCCAGTGTAGCAAATTATCTGACTCGATGGGACAGATTTATTGCGAGTGATGGATCTGAGGTGTGTGTGCTGTGAATGTATGCACAGTCAATCAAGTTTACTGCTGAAAGCTGCTGGCTCGCTGGGTTTGTCTGCGCTGTGACACAGAAGTTGGGTGAGGAATGCAGCGTAACTGAATGCATAACGCCTGGAGGAAGGCATGTCTTGGTGTGTTAGGAAGCCTGGGGAGGGGAGGACAGTGCATTTATGGGATTTGGGTTCTTTGGAGAATTGCTTGTGGCATTTTTTGAAGCTGTCGGTGTTTTAATGGGGAGCTCTTATCTTCTGGTGCTTCTGATGGGTGGTGGATGGAGCGCAGTTTTCTTGGAGAGTACACTGTGAGTTTGGCAAGTGCTGTGGTCGTGTTGTAATGGAACAGGGGGTGGTGAATTTCAGACTGTTACACAAACCAGCAAATGCTGCCTCCAAACTGGAAATTTAATAAAAGCCCCAAATTATTCCCACGCACACTGCGTATTTAGTCCCCTTCCTGCTTCTCTGGAAGGAAAGATGAACTGCTGAGTTTTCATTAGGGACAACATTAGAAGCCTAATGAAGTGCTTACTGCGTCCCATCCGATGCTGATGTGTTAACTCTGCTCCACAGCTGTGTTCCTGCAGCTCTGCTGGCTGTCAGTTTATGTCCTTAGCACCAATGCAGTGCAGTGCAGCCGTCTGCAGGACAAGCATCTCCCCGGTTAGGGTTAGGGTTAGGGGCTGCAGCTCAGAGAGATCCATTACAAAGCATCCATCTGGAAGCTGGTGCCTGATTCCTCCTCGCTTCCTTTAGGCAAAAGCATGACAACCATAACAGTGTGCCTTCTGGCATCTAGGTGCAGGCTCTGAGCATGCAGACGGCCTTTCAGCTGCAGTGCAGAGCAGGTCACTGTGCAGAGCAGCGTTATAGAGTGCTGCTCTATTTCTTTGCTGATATTTGCTCAACTCTTCCTATGAGTTGATATAAATAATTTGAGGAAGAATGCAAATGGATTATCGCTCCCTCTGTGCTTATCTGTTTCCTTGCACTGCTTACAGACACTCCTGAGCCACAAAATGCGTTTTCCTCCCCTCTCTGCTCCTTAAATGACAGCTGGCAGTTGGGCACTATTCACACTACCACACAGTGTCTCTCTTCTCAACAAATTCCTACAGGTAAATCCTCTCTTTCCTGCTGACTCCTTAACTTCAGGCTGAGATGTGGACAAGAGTGTGACATAAAACTCCCAGTCCAAGTTGATATTTCCCCAGTACTGTCATTTTTCAAGCCTTACTTTCACATCTTACCCGTATTAAACCGTCTTGGGAATAGCTGAGGTCAATGGATAGAACAGTGCCTTGGATCTTTCCATTTACATCCCTCTGCCTGTATGAGCTGCATCTTCTTTGCACGGTGCAGTGTGCAGTCATGCAGCCACGTAATTAACAGTCTGATTTATTCTGTGATGGAAGTAAAGCTTAGCTCAAGTTAACAGAAATCATCTCAGACTTGATGCTGTTTGCCAGCAGTACAGATTAATGTTTCGTCATGTAGTTTAACTCTTTGCAGGTGTAAGTGGACAGGAGGAAGGCAGCAGTATGGCAATAACGGGGTTTTCCTGTAGGAATGCAGCTGTAAGCCAGGTGGAGGCTGTACACCACCGAGTGCTGATTTCAAAAAGGCCCATCAAGAGTTAGTTTTCTCCTTTAAAAATACAGAGTACTGGGAAATAATTTTGTATTAATGTGCTGGAAGATTTGTTTTACTGCACGGCAGAGCACGACAGGGATTCCCACATTGCCACGAGAGGTCACTGCGTGCCTCAAGAATACCCAAAGCAATGCCCAGCTCTGTGGCTCCCCACTCAGCAAGGATCCGGACCCCAGCACAGGGATGCTCCTCTGGGATTGCTTTGGGAGAAGCAGAGGAGTTGGCTTTGGGCATCTACTGTTAGATGCTTAGCTTAAATCTAGCTCTGAGTGGGAGTAACTAAAAATTATCATGTAATAATTGGTTTATGTGAACTGCGTTGGTGGCTTGAGTCGAGCTCCATGAAGCACATAGCCTCACTGCCCAGTTTAGCCCAGTGTGGTTGCAGCATGTGTAAGTGTTTCTCAGGGCTGCTCCAGGCAGTGCATGTGGGATATTAGGAATGATTTCTTCTCCAAAGAGAGCTGATGCAGTGGCACAGGCTGCCCAGGGAAGTGGGGGAGTCCCTGAAGGTGTTCAAGGCCCATGGGGATTTGGCACTGAGGGCTGTGGTCAGTGGACACAGTGGGGATGGGTTGAAATTGAGAATCTGAGAGGTTCTTCGAGCCTTCATGGTTCTGTGGTTCCATGATTCTGGCTGTGTGCGGTTTTTCTGTTTTTTTTCCTTCTGCACTAATTATGCTGGTGATAAGAAGGCAGTAGGTATTTATGTCAGAGCAACCTTTGCAACAGCTCAGATAAAAAATAGGTAATAAACTGTTATTCCTTTCATTATTCACTACAGTAGTGTGTCCTACAGGTCCTGTAGCAGCAGAGAGATGGGTGCATGAGGGGCAAAAGTGGGCAAAGTCCTTCCTTGTTAGCATAATTTTCCTGTTTCCCTACTAATCCTAGCATACTTCTCAACTCCAAGAACTCTACTTTTGCCACTGCCACCACTCTCTGTAGCAGCATATATTCCCTGCTGTTTGTTGTTGGTTCTTTTTTAAAGGGTAATGAAATCTTACGGTTCTGTTTCCACGTGCCAGCTCTCAGAGCACTACTGCACAGCTCTGGAGCCTCACTCCAAAGATTTCCCATGGTGGATGGTGAGCTGGAATTTACTCTCAAAAAGGAATAGTTCAAATTCCAGCAGAAGCCCCTCGAAGTTCACCAGTCACGATGCATAGCTGAGGTTCAAACTACTGAAAATTTCACAAAAACATGTCAAGTGATGTGATATTTCTTTCCTGTGGTCTGCAGAAGGAGCTTAGGTTTGGATAAGACAACAATCTTGATTGTCACAGATCCAGGAAACCAACACGACATTCAACAAACTCCCCCCAGGACGTGCCAGAAAGTATTTATGCATTGAAAGAAAATGTTTTGTGAATACAGTAAATGGTATGGAAAATTCAGTCTCACAGATAATGCAGTTAAATCAACATCCTTTACTGTTTTCCCACTTATGAGTAAGAGGTATAAAGTCCAGAAGGGCTCAGGTTACTTTTCCATATTCCTTACTCTTAACATGCCATACACGAGGGAGAGAAGGGTTGGGTGTGTCCTTTCCTAGGATTTTTCTGTTGCTACCAGTGGTGGTAGAACAGTTCTATCTACACAGGCTCTTTTGGGACACTGGGAAGGTTTTGGACTCCAAAGACACTCAGTTTTCATAGTCCTGCAGGTAAAACAGACGTTGCTGTTCTCTGACATGTATTTTTCTGGGGTGCTCTGAAGATGTTTCAGTCTTTGTGATGATTAACTAATAGCAAAGTACTGCCGTGGTAATAATCCAACATTCATGATTCGTTGCTTGCTATAAGGTGAAAACAACATTATCTGGGTAAGCACAGAAAGTAAGTGTGAGCAACCCAGAGATTTCTGAAGTAATAAAAACATCCCTGGAGGTCATCCTGCTTGCTCTCCAGCTCGATAACTTTCCTTTCCTTTCTGCTTGCTTGCTCGCAAAGAGGCTTAGCAAACAATCTCTGCACAAGACTAAAGGCTGGGAAAAACCTGTGTTTTAATAGCTCTGGCAGTGAGCAAATTCCAACAATGAGCAAATAATATTCCCACCCTGCTTTGGTTTTTCCAAGAGTCGAAAGTGAAATAATGCTTATTCTTCCGCACGGGATGTTGCAATCATATTTACTGCGGTGAAAAATGCTTTGAAAAGGAAGAATGAGATGTAATTATCATCGTTTACTATGTGGGGGCATCATGTAGATGGAGTAATGCTTTGCAAGCCATAAAGCTGGGTTGATGCCCCAGGGCACTCGCAGCACAAAGGATCTGTTTGCACGTTTCATTGACTGAGGACTTACAGCACCTGAACAAACCAGCAGAAAAAAGAACATGACCCAGAGAACCACAGTTTTTTTTGCAGCTCTTTTTTATTCTCAAGGACCAATTAATTGCTTTCTTTCTTTCCTTATTATTTTTTTAATTTTGGATTGTTTTCTTTCCTCTGGATTACTCTTGCAGCCCGTAAGAAGAGAGCAGGTAAAGCCAAGGCTGGGATTTGCTGTAGGAGCGGTGCCCACTGCCCTTCCAGAGCTGGAATCCAAACAGTGTGAAATATGGCTTTATTTCCCTAGGGAGTTATGCAGCATGGGGTCTAGCTTTGTCCTAAGCAGACCTAGATGCTAGTTCCTTCTGATTCTAACCAACCTAACTGAAATCTTCTATTCTTCTTTTCTTTTTCTCATGATTAGCGTTGATGGAACTTTCTAAACTTACATTTCAGCTTTCCAGATCTGCTGCTAAACATGGCAGGGATGTGGGATTTCTGAAGGAAGATGATCATGGAACGTAATTTGCACACCTGTTGTTATTGAAGTATTTGTTTAATTATTTCTTGTTTCTTAATACTGCTTCCTTCCTTTCTCTGCACGCAGCTTAGAGTTTCGCTGGTTCACTTCTGAATGGATTATCTGCTAAATAATTTGTATTTCATGCAGTAATGGTTAACTATCTCCAAAAGTATTTTAATCACAGGAACTGCCCAAATTGTAACATGAACGCTACCAGCATCAATAAGCTCTGTAACAGAGTATTCTGTAATGTGTCTCATTTCTTAGATGGTGTTCGTGCCTTCAGTCTGATGGATTTAAATATGGAAGGGAAATTCTGAGAGCACTGGGAATACACTGGAAATAAAAGCGTGGGAAAATAAGCTGAAGGGGGACTGTGTGCTGCTGCCTACTGCAACTGGGCAGGAGAAATCTTGGAAAAATGGAAAAAAAGGCAACAAGCAATGAGACTCAGCCGCTGACTTCCAAGAAAGATATCTCAGATTGTAATGAAGGAGAAGATTGTAAAGAGAACGGACTGCTGATCAGGAACCCTAAATCTGCCCTACGGCTCATGGAGGATGGGAATAAAATCCATCCTGGCCAGGGAAATAAGGAGGAGGCAGCTCAGATCTCAAATGGCTATTCGGGAGTTCAGAGCTCCGTGCCTTGCAATGGGATGGGAGAAGTGGAGGATGCACAGTGCACCAACCCAGCAGCCACAACCACCACCACCACCACGTCCACCACGTGTGGAGCAGAGGGCCAGCAGCAGCTGATGGAGTTGGAAGACAGAGAGACCTGGAGTAAAAAAATTGACTTTCTGCTCTCTGTCATTGGATATGCAGTGGATCTGGGAAACGTGTGGAGATTTCCTTACATATGCTATCAGAATGGAGGAGGTCAGTGGCCAGTTCTGTAAGCTGTTCCTTAACGTTCAGCTTCCTTGCTTACTAATGAATTAGTTTAGTAGTTTATTTTAATATCATGCATGACATAGCAGTAACAGAAAATTAATTACTTTTAAAGCAGACTGGAAAACTTAAATATACTAATAAGATAAATACTAATAAGATATAGAGCTGGGCACTGGTTAGGTGCAGAGTAATCTGAGAAAAAAGATTCGAGCCCTGTCCCAAGGAATATTTAAAATCAGATAAACCAACTTGTCAAAACACTCCTCAGGAAAGCTGGGACTGAGACTCACAGACGTCCCAGCCAAAATATAAATCTCCTCAAGGAGAGACTGGACAGAAAAGACTTCTGCATCCCTGATGCACTCAGGCGTTCTACCAGAGAAATTAATTACTGTGTCTGTATCTCATCTCACCTCGTACTGTAGAGGCAGTACAGTCTTTGTGAATCCCATGTAAACTTGTTATAGAAACATGAGAAGTTTGGCCTGAGTGTCACTTCTAATTCACACTGCTGTGAAGTTAGTTGTGAGAAATCCCGTGGTAACTCAAGGTGGCACACTGGCTAGGGAAGGGATATGCATTTTCCCTGGGGAACAAAAGGAATTGTTTCAGCACTCCATAAACTAGTGGAAGAGAAGTCCTATGAAGAGTTATAATGATCTGCTTTGTCTCTTGCAGGAGCATTCCTCATTCCTTACACAATTATGGCCATCTTCGGTGGTATTCCTCTCTTCTATATGGAATTAGCATTAGGACAGTACCACAGGAATGGGTGTATTTCAATTTGGAGAAAAATATGTCCTATATTCAAAGGTAATGAAGGGAAATGGAAAATTAGAAGGAACTTTTTGAGTAAGATCTTCCAATAAAGATGTATTTTCTAAAAAAATATATATATATATCTGAAAACAACAGAGCAAAGTAAGGCTAGAACAAAGTAAGTCTAGTTCTACACTTTTGGCTTTACAAAGAAAGTTTTCATAAGGCTTTATCTGTACATCTGTAGATGTGTGTGTGCTGTCATGCATATGTATGTCACACAACTCTCTGATTGATTAGATAGAGGCTGCTCTGAATTAAGCTTGAAGAAAGTAAAAAACAACCCATGTAATTGAAGAAAAAAAAAAAAAAAAGCACAGAATTACTGAATCCTGGGCAAAATTGAGAACAGGAAAGAAGAATTTCCTTACAGAAATAGAAATAATGTAGTAGAATTTGTTCAATGCATTTGTTATTCTTGCTCCCAGTGTCAGAATCCTGGTCTAAGAGTATCAGATGGTAATTTCTAAATTCCAAATTTTAGGAGCAGCTAAAAAAAACAATTTAAGCCTATACTGTCTATACTGTCTTGATTAAGAATGTTCTTCTGCAATCAGAATATGAGTTTCTGAAGCTGTAAGAAATTCCCGTTTTGTAGATACATGACAGGGTACACGTACCTCCTGCAGAGCTGCCTTCATGGTTACTAACTGTGGGTGATGTGAAGAACCAATTCCTTCCTTTTTGTGGCCTGACACTCACTTCATGTCATTATTTCCTAACCTGCCAGGCATTGGCTTTGCCATCTGTGTAATAGACCTCTATGTAGCCTCCTACTACAACACCATCATGGCATGGGTCTTCTACTACCTCGTGTCCTCCTTCACGACGGAGCTGCCATGGACCAGCTGCAATAATGCATGGAACACAGGCAACTGCACTGCCTACTTCAGCAAGGACAACGTCAGCTGGGCCCTGCACTCCATCTCTCCTGCAGAAGAATTTTATACGTAAGTGCATGTAAGTGAGGACAGTAACATCAGACAGAATGGTGAAACACATAGCAAGCTTTTCTTTGGAAGGGGAGAAGAGGTGTTTAGTAATGGTACTCTTTTCTAAACTATTCAAGTAACTAAATACCTGTAGGGGAATGTAAGCTTAGGGTGTGGGGGAGGGTACTCTGTATTTTAGACTGCAGGTTCCCAATTGTCTGGCCATTATCAACTGTCAATATTTACCATTTATCATCACTGGTGTACTGTTAATATAAGGCCTGTAAGTTAAGAAAAAAATCCAAAATGGTATGACTCTGAAGTCTAATTATCAAGGCCTCAGGACTACTTGTAATGCTCAGACCACAGTAAGGGACTGCTCAAAGCATACTGAACATATTTGTTACAAAAATATCGACACTGTGTTTTTCTTTCCTCTTTCAGCCGCCAAGTTCTACAGGTGCATAGGTCCAATGGGCTGGATGACCTGGGGGGCATTAGCTGGCAATTGACCCTCTGTTTATTGTTAATCTTCATCATTGTATACTTCAGCATCTGGAAAGGGGTCAAAACATCCGGCAAGGTGAATGCAAAAGCAAGACAAATCACTTGGTACAGTATAGCCTAGCACAAGTTCTAAAGGAGCCAATTAACATGACAGTTATCCCAGACTGTCTTCAGGGCAGGGATTGTAGCCTCATTTATTTGGGAAGCCCTTGCTGCAGATAACTGCTACTGTTATCCAAGTAATACGTAACAATAAGTTATGCCACAGTTCTGTGCACGAGAACACAGAGAAAGCATGGATATTTATGTGCAATCTGCCCGTTTACAGAACTTTTGAGAAGTTCCTATGAAGGTGTTATAAACGCTAAGAGTTACCATTTGAAAGTTATCATAAATTCTTCTCATCTCTTAATTTTGTGCCCGTGGCAAACACTGTCTCAATGTTCTCCCTGGCAGGTGGTGTGGGTGACAGCCACGTTCCCTTACGTCATACTTTTTATCCTGCTAGTGAGAGGGGCAACTCTGCCCGGTGCCTGGAGAGGTGTCCTCTACTACCTGAAACCTGAATGGCAGAAGCTCCTGGCCACTGAGGTAAGAACACTACAAAATAGTTGGGGCTCACTTGTAGCCTCTCAGCATGTGTACCACATGTATAAACTGCAGTGTGTGCTTTCAACATAGAGTATGATTAAATAGATGCCTTAGCATGGACATCATGCTCTCGTTCAAACAGTTGTCCTATTCTTTCCATAACTATATAGATATTTTTAAAAGATTAGATGGGGTTCCTGGTTCTGATCTGCTATTTAAGTTCATTGTGAATTTAGCTTGAACTACCAGTGAAACAGCAAACAGCCCAGCACTGTGCAAGAAGCTACAGTGATTGCTGCTACACAACAGCACAATCCTTGGCAAATAGCTCTGAACTCTACCATATGGATGAGCTGCAGTTGTTTTGATGGTGAGGGGATCATTACATGCTCAGGCAGACTTTCCCACACCCAATGGTGTCTACAGTTACCAGAGCTGAAATTTAAAGTCTCCATCCTGTGACACACTGACAGATAAGCCCAGGGAGGGTCTCCTTAGCTGCCAACTAAAGCATGACTTGGTGATGAGTGGACATGGGCAAGTGCACTGGAGAAGCAATGCATCAGTTGGGTCTGCACACCCCACCAGGGTTTGAAAAGAAAGGAAGGATGAGGACAAGACTGAGCTAATTAAAAAAAAAAAAAAAAAAAAGCCAACCCATTCCACTATCTGATTCAGCTCTGAACTCTGTGGATGACAAGTAGTCCATCAAGCTGGAGGCTGCACTGAGGTCCCTGTATAAGAAAGTCTCTAGTGGGGAGAGTGATGGAAAAACCCCAAAGCAATAAATACTACAAATACAAAGATTAAAAATTCTAATGTTTGCAAGTCTGCTGTTCCCCAGCTGATATGGAGAGTTTTGAATGAAAAGGAAATGAAAAGACACCAGTCTCTGATAAAGCAGCATCTTCAATAAGGGACCACATCTTCTGAAAAAGCAATAAAGGGCATTGATATTGTATTGGATGTATCTGAAGTGAGGACAGCAGATCACAATCTGTGTGTGCTGGACGATGACAGAGTTCTGTCTGTGGCTGATACAGGATGGCCTCACACGATGGCAGAGTATTAGAAATGAGTGGTAATGAACTCCAGGTTTCAATCAAAAGAGGATAAACAAATGAGGACTTTCACCTTCAGAAAAAGAGCTGATATTAGCACTTTAGGAGCACCACTCATTAAGGCTGCAGCCATTCTTCAAGTACAACAAGCTTTTCATAACAAGACCATCACACTTGCATCTATCATGGCTACAACAAAGCTGGATGGAGTCCCTCGAACTGCGGCTGCATCCGCACTACAAAATGCCTAAGAACAATCTCAGCCCAGAGGACACACAGCCAACACTGAGCTACTGCACAGCACACAGAGAAAGATGGGCCAAGTCCACCAGCAAACCATGGGCAGAGCTCTCCATACGTTGCAGAAGCTGGGGTAACCCAATTACAGGCAAATCATCTGCGATGCTGGCAGAATGGATACTTAAAACGTGTGAAGAAATGCAACAGCTCTTTATGGTAAATTCTTTTGATATAAATCCTAATTGCATCACCAGTGAAAACCAGAACAGCAAAGACAGCCAAACTATAGTAGATATTAACACCTTTCTCAAATCTCAAGAAAAAGCTCACATTCCAACATACTTCCTCACCAAAGTGTTTGTTAGACCAGGACTAGAACATAAGCACACAAGTGAAACTCAACTTTGCATGGCTAAGTAATATTGTGAATCTGCCAAACTCATCCTATCTGTCTCATTACCTTTTTTTTCTTGATTTTTATCATTTTTCAGGTTTGGGTGGATGCAGCAGCTCAGATTTTTTTCTCCCTCGGCCCAGGTTTTGGGGTCCTGTTGGCTTATGCCAGCTACAACAAATTCCATAACAACTGCTACCAGTGAGTTCTCCCTCATCTTATATATTAAATTCAGCTTTACATAGGTGCTGGTTTTTATGAAAAGGAAATAGTGCCAGTGAAAGACACTGAATTGTCAGACCTTTGTGCATGCAAACCAGACAGCAGTTTAACAGAACAAAGAAACTGCAAGCCCAAGCATGTTCTCTGTTGTGCCTACCTTAAAGAGAAGTAATCTCTACCAGTGATGGCAAGGAGGCCAGGATGTAAAACCTGCCACAACAGAATGGCACAGCTCCCTGACAATCAGATGAGAGTTGCTGAATCTCAGTCAGCCAAAGTGTGACTGTAGAGCCCTGAGCTGAAAGGCAGTTTGTAATTGTTTCCTTAAAAAAACAAACAACTGTTTATAAAATTAAAGAACATCTTCTTTCTTTAATATTCCTAAAGCCATTCCTGTCATTTTAGAAGTCTGGTATTTCTGCAAGCACAAACCCAACATTTAATCCTGTGCCAGACTTATGTTACAACCTGTCTGAAGTTCTTCCTTAGGAAAAACAATGAGAAGTTGCTTTGTCGTTGTTTTCCAAAATCCACTCCTTGCTCCTTCCACTGCATTCCCCAAACTGCTGCAGGAGTGCAGCTCAACCACTGCCCCCACCTGGCAGCACGCTGCCCTCCCCAGCAGATGCTGATCCCTGATGTGAGCTGGGTGTTCTGTTGCAGAGATGCCCTGGTTACCAGCACTGTGAACTGCCTGACCAGCTTCGTGTCCGGGTTTGTCATTTTCACCGTGCTGGGGTACATGGCTGAGATGAGGAACGAAGATGTGTCGGAGGTTGCCAAAGACATGGGTAGGCTTTTTGACTTCTGAGAGAATGTATCTTGTGTATTCTACACTGAGAGACCTAACAACTTGAATGAGTGGATAAGATTGTCAAATATTTGGTGTGTAATTCAGGATAGATAGTGTCTTCTGTTATGATAAAGGCACTGTTATAAATGCACAGTGCAGTTAAATACTATTCCATAATGCCAGCATATGTTCTAACTGCACACTGGGACATAGGGGGAGAAGCCTTCTGCAGGAAAATGGAACAACCTGTCCTCCCCCCAGCAGCACTAACAGGTCTCTCTGTTTCTCCACTCTAACACCAGGACCCAGTCTGCTCTTCATTACCTACGCCGAAGCCATTGCAAACATGCCTGCCTCAACTTTCTTTGCCATCATATTTTTCTTGATGTTGCTCACGCTGGGATTAGACAGCACGGTGAGTAGGCAATACTTGAGAGAGATGGATGAATGATGTTTGGTGTATTCCTTACCCCAGCCAGCACCAGGAGGAGCAGAATTACAAACACAGGGCTGCCACCAAAGGGTTGAATGCAGGACTGGCATCTCCTCGTGCCTTCTGTAAGATAGGAACTCTTCCTCCAATTTCAATGACAGAGAAATGGAGGCTTAAATAAGATTAAATGATCTGTCAGAGTTGCACTGTGATAAATAGTAGCAGACCTGGGAACACAGCTGAAGCACGTGATTCATGTACTGTATGCAGCCTTATGGGCTCCGTCTGTCCTGTACTGGTAAACTCACAAAGCAGTGAATGAATTCCCATTTGATACTCTTTCACACGAATTTTATTTAAATGGTGGAAACTGGAGGAAGCTTTCTTCGCAGCACTGCAATACAGAGCTCTCCTAAAAACTGCCATGTGAATCTCTTTTACTGACTGAGAATCAGCTCCTTCTAGGAAGGCTCAACACAGTGATTGCACAATGTTGGTCCTACTGAGCCACTTCCTCTGGATGATAGGCACTTCCTACTGAAATGGAAGACTAAATCGCTGCTTAAAGAGCTAAAAAAATTCTGAAGAAAGTCTGAATTGTGAATTGTGAATTGTGCCAACTCTACAGGAAGAGTAAAGCACAGTGTTTCAATGGCTTACAATTCCTCTTCCAGGTAAAACTGCCCTCTGTTCTCCATTAATTATTGCATGCTTTTCAGTTTGCAGGATTAGAGGGAGTGATTACTGGAGTACTGGATGAATTCCCACACGTCTGGAGCAAGCGCAGGGAATTCTTTGTCCTTGGTCTGATCATCATTTGCTTTCTGGGGTCATTAGCAACCCTGACATTTGTAAGTATTTCACCCCGTCCTCAGCTTTCCTCACTGGCAGTTTCCTGCAGATGACATCTTGGAGAGGGTCGTATTTTTGTTTTAAAAGAGATTCAAGAAGTAAGATTGAATTTCTAAATGTGAACATTATCTCTCACTAAGAAATGTGTTGCAAAACAATTCTATTGCAATTCAGCATAACTGCTGCACATCCCAACTGGCTCAGCCACTGCTCCAGCTGCTACGTCAGCATGCAGGGGTGCTTTGATGCAGTGTATGTGCTTTGCTTCTCACTCTCCCAACCTCCACGTTTAAAAATAATGGATTGTTTCTTTCATTTTCCCAATGTTAGAAATATATACTGTATTAAAAAAAAAAAAAAAAAAAGAGCAGCCAGAAATTATCCACAAGAAATTGCTGTAATTGACTGTTGTTGAACCACTCTCTGGGAATTTCTGCCAAATGACCTGAATCTTCCTCATCCAATTAGGCTGGAAAGCACCACCACTCACTCACACATCATCCCTTCACGGCTCGTGGGATTTCATTTTCACAGCAAGCAAAATTCTGAATTATGAGGACGAAGGGAGAAGGAAAACGCACACAGGTTTCCTGTTGTGTTTCACTTCATTGCTCATTTACACACAACCCCCTTCTCATTGAGAGCATTTACTGTAAAAGTGGATGTAGTTCCTCTGTGAGACACAAACTCTTCCTCCTTAAGCTGGTTCTAGGTATCCCAGGTGGTAAGAAAGCGAAGCAACACCCGCTTTGTTTCCTGTTTGGGGGCTATGAGTCAAGTTGGAGGAAGGTGACACAGGATGCATGCACGCTGTCACACTGCACCAGATCCCAATTGGTCATTAAAATCCAACGAGAAAACAGCCACGAGATTCAGTTTTAGCTCTTCTGCATGGCAGCCCCACTGCTGGACTACATCCACGCACAGCAACAGCAGCACAGCCAAGGACTGCACAGGTCACAGTGCAGCAGAACTCACACGTCTGTGAATGTTCTGCTTCAGATGAAGGCAATAATAAAAAAAACCAGCATCCCAGGGCTTCCACCCCTGAATCTCTGGGTCACTGACAGCACCGTGTCCTTTGCAGGGAGGCGCATACGTGGTGAAGCTGTTTGAAGAATATGCCACAGGCCCAGCTGTGCTAACAGTGGTGTTCCTGGAAGCGGTGGCAGTGGCCTGGTTCTACGGTACGTGCATCGCTGCTGGGCCCCACTGAGCCACAGCTCCTCTGCTTCTGCACACACAGCATCACTGATGTCTCAGGAAAACGTTTGCTTTTCTTTCTTTTCCCCTCCCCACAAACTTACTGTTAACTAAATCTGTAAGAACGACTATTGATGGCTCTGAGAGAAGCAGGCTAACATCTGAAAGTTCTGAACGACCTCATTACTATTAAGGGTTCCATGTAGTTAAGGCACAAACTGCACCTCAGGCTGGGCCCTGTGCTGCCTTGCTGTGCACACATCTCTGTGCAAAGGACTCCTTTCTGCTGTCCCCACTCTCCTCTCATTTGTCTCCACAGGCATCACCCAGTTTTGCAATGATGTGAAAGAAATGCTGGGCTTCACCCCAGGCTGGTACTGGCGAGTGTGCTGGGTGGCAATCAGTCCCATCTTCCTGCTGGTGAGTTTTCTTCATATCTTTTTTTTTTTTTTCCCCCCCTGTGCAACAAAATTACCATTGAACGATGCGGTTCCTTAGACATCTCAAAGCTTAATTACAAAATTCTCTTAGGAAGCTCTTTAGTAACAATTCTTGTTAAAACAAAAATGCTTAATTAGTGAAAAATCCAACACAGTGCTGCAAGGTCTGGTTACTAAATCGCAATTCTAAGGGGTTTGGTAGACCAGCTAGATAAACAAGCCTGGGTTTGGAATAACTCCTTCCCCCCTCATGGACAAAGATTACTTTGTTTTGTTGTTTTACGTTTGCCACAGAAAATAAAAGATGGTGATGAAACAGTGCCTGGGAGGAAACCCAAGATAAGTAAACACAGGGACCCAGTAACTGCTGACTGACAACTTCAGTGTATCCCACGTAGCGTCTGCAGCAGTTAATTACAACCATCGTAAATCTATAATTTGAGATTGGAAATCCTGACCCTATGTTTGATTTAGCAGTACTATTGATAATGTTTTAACATCAAGTGTTCATTTCCTGCTCCCCAATGGGTTTGTGCTATCTTTGATAGTTAACCGGGAGCAGAGCAGGTCAAGATGGAATTTATGAGCACCGAATGCAGATTGAAGACCTGCAGAGTGAATTCTAAACTCTGCTGTAATGATCAATGCATCTCTAACAGATTTTTATTTTATTACCCACAGAAAAAGAAGGAAAAAAAGGTTATAAATAAAAGCGTTGCCCCAGAAATGATTTTTAAACTCCTGTCCTCTTTGTGATCCCGAACCAGTAAAATAAAGCAGACAGCTCTGGTGCTGTGGTTACTAGGCACAGCTATTTGTGTTTTCTGCAGAAGTTAAACTAAAGTAAGGAAAGCCCAGAAGGTACCGTGCTATTTTGCTATGGAAATTTCAGTGGTACTCCTGCTCTTCTGATGCTAATCTGGAAAAAAGCACAATTCAGAGATCCTTCTGAGAGCAGTCACCAACATTACTCACGTAGCATTCAGCTGCAAAGCATTTGTTGTTTCACAAGAAATCTCACAGTCATGAAGGGAAAGCAGAATAAAGAAAATGAATCAAATTCTGAGTAAGACTTAATTATGTGATGTTTTCCTCCTGGGAGTACATGGGGAAGACTTAATGGCAGTACTGAAAAGCAGGCATGCTTTGCACAAACCCTGCAGTGCTGTGACTTCATTGAAGATAAGGAACCCTGGAGTTACAAAGAAGTGCTTTATTCTAAGAATATTCCTTAGGGACCCAGACCCTTAGGGAAGTTGCTCACTGATAAGAAGGACACAAATACAAGCAGTGTAGCTGGCACACTGTAAAACACATGGAAGATGTAATGTTTGTCTAACCTTAAAAACCCACTCATTTATTTTGATTATACATAAAAATAAAAGCCATGCTCAGATTATGGGGCAAGGAAATGCTCACAGCAGATACGAATAAATGATAAACTGTAGTGAAGCATTTCTTAATGCATCATTCTGAAACAGTCAGAGGTAGGAAAGAAATCATACAACAGGAACAAACTGGGAATCATTAAGATGTGTCTTAGAGAAAAAAAATTCCTTCTCTTCCCATATAATTGCTTAATTGCTATACCACAGATTACTTTTCCCCCCACTCATTTCAGAGTGCACAACTGCAATAGTTGTAGAACTCAAATGAATGACAAAATACAATGCTGTGTTCAAAGCTGGAATGTCAGGCCATGCTTCTCAGCTTTCAGTTACTGCTTGGGTTATGTCCTTGAGTTCCTGAGCAATTCTAAATTTCCTTCAGTCTTGATATCAAAAAGCTTTTAGTTTAATCTATATTAATGTCATCTGAGATTTTTTTGGGAGCGGTACGCATTTAATCCTTCTCAAGCCCTGCTCTGGTTTTTCTTGGTTTATTTCTTTTTTTTTTTTTTTAAGTTTAGTTCTATGCTGGCACAGAGAGTTCCCTGAAGGAACAGCGTGTGCTATTAAAACATGTTGAAACTTTTCTTGTTTCCTTTCCAGTTCGTCACTTGCAGCTTTCTGTCCAACCCCCCCGAGCTACGGCTTTTTGATTACAACTATCCCTACTGGACCACAGTAGTGGGCTACTGCATAGGAACCTCTTCCATCATCTGTATCCCAATCTACATGGTTTATCGGTTGATCATCACACCTGGGACACTGAAGGAGGTATCCAGTAGGCTCTTCTGTGTCTGTTAGGAAGGAAATTATTTCTATAAGTATTGTGTGTCATTTTTTTCTAAGATTTGATGCCCCAGGCTGTTCGTTCCTAGCTTGCTAACAGCTAATTGTCTTTCACCCATTTGGGGTGATTTATAAATCTCCCAGGTCTCGCTGAGGGGGCTGAGATACATTCACATCCACTTATTGAATCAAGTGTTTCTTTTTATGCTCCACTGAACTGGAAGCTTTCCCCAGAAATCACACGTGTGAGCCAGCAACAGATCGGGTCCCTCGGGTGTGCTTACAAGAACAAGTTTCTTTTTCTGTCCCACACTTAATAAGGGTTCTCTACCATAAATCCATGGTAGCTTGTGATGCCATTTTTGGTATTTCTTGTAAGTTCCTGTAAATACCAGTTCTGAGAGAATGTGTTCAACAAACTCAGAGTGCCCAAGTAAAGTCCTGAAGCATGAGTATGACAGCTGTCAACCTTGGAATCAGATTGGATCTCCTACAAACAATTAATAAGTGTGCACTTCCATAGCACCACTGTGCAAAAGTAACATAACCCTGCAGCATTTTTGCCTTGTAGCTGTAAGAAGCAGTAAGAAGTGTAACTCAAACCAGTTGTGTTTTTATTGCAACCATTCGGAAAGGGTTTTGAAATGTTATTTATTAGCTATAAAATGAATGAACTTCTAATGATCTCTTTCCAACAGCGTATTCTGAAAAGCATTACTCCAGAAACAGCCACAGAAATCCCTTTTGGAGACATCCGCATGAATGCAGTGTAAGCTAACCTGGTTTCTGGGGAGAGAGGGGAAGCACAGAATCGAACTTTCCACCCAAGGAATTATGTTTCCAGCTGAGATAACAACGGGATGAGTTTTCTGTGGAGGTTCTGACAACAGACATTTGGAAACATGATGCCTCCAGCACATCTATCCAAGCAATTCAGTGAAACCTGCCATGCACTTCTAACCAGACTGACCTGAGAACCAACTCATTCTGGAAACACGAGGATGTCTGTGTGTGTGAAGACAGCACTGCTCCATGTGTGGGCACCAGGGCTGTTGCAGAAACCTCTCAACAGGATGAGCAGCAGCGGTAGGATTAGGTTTAGAATCTCAAGTCTGTGGCAGTTCTCCTGTATCTTCCTCAATGTGATCGTTCGTACTGGGCAATGTTGTATTTGCTTCTAAGGTTCTAATTGCTTCAACTACATTGAAAAATACAAAAATATTTCCAATAGCCATATATTACTCAAGTAACACAGGGTTTTATAAACTAATTAGTAAGTTCTCCAACTCCTGGGTTTGTAGTGGAGTCGTCAGAGAAAGAGGCAGCAATCTCAAGCAGCACTACACACAGCTCTGCACAAATCAGCACGCACATTTGGGAACATTATCCTCCTCATTTCATTTGTAGATCGTATGTTTCTATTGTTTCTTGTTTAATACTACAAAACCAGTCTTTGTAATGTGGGCTTCATAGTCAAGCAACAAAAAGGTTTCATGGGTCATCTGACAAGCACTGAAGCTGCTAGCACAGCTAAGCTACATATTCACAAAATCCTTGTACTCACAGACCGTGCTTTTACACCCAAGGAAACTTTATACCAATAATGAATTACTTTGAGTTCAGATGTCAAGAAGTGGACTCTCACAGATTTGCTTTTCTTTGTTGACCTTTTAAATTTCAGTTCCACAGCTAAGATTGGCCAGAGCCTGTGGCTTTCTCTATTGTTTCCTGGTACAGACCTCAAGTTTAGAGCAACCCTTTTGGCTGGCTGACAGAAGTATGTTTACACAAACCTACTGCCAAGATTTACTAGCTCCTATTCTTATAGGAATACATTTGGGTTTTCACCCTGAAGAATAACAGTAGGGTTTTTTTTTTTCTTTAACAAGCAGTTGAGTTTATCAGAAGATTCTGGTCAGAACTGATTGTATTAGATTTTGAAGCAGTGATGACATACAAACTAACTTCCATGAATGTACTAACCTTGCCATATTATATCTGTACATATGCCTCCAGCAGTCTACAGCTGCTCTGTAGACTGACCATCACTGCCAAATCACTTGGAGGACAGCAGTTTTGCTGTAGTTACGTGGGAATTTAGATAAACCTGAGTAGTCATCATTTATGTAAAGACAGTGCATTTCCACTCTACCACATAGATTATAAAAGTCTAAGAAAAGTAGAATTAAATAGAGCATAAAAGCCTCTTCTGCATTTCATGGTTTACTTAGGAAACTTACTGCTACAATTAATGACATGATACGTGCACACATAGCAGCAGGCACTGAGAAACCCACTGAAGAGTTTACATCAGTACAAAGCACATAAGAAAGCAGGGGAGGTGATTCAATGATTGCCTTCTGAAAGCACTCACCTCACTTCCACCACTGCTACTGACCCGAGTTCCCTTATCTTTAGCACTCCATCCCAACAAGGAAATAACCCTAAGGAACAAGAACTGTTCTGTGCAAATTACAAACAAAGGCCTCCTGCACTATTTTTTAAAAGGGAGTATGTTCTTGCACTGCCACCAGAAAAACATAATAAATTTGTCTTACTGGATGCTTACTCATACAGAATAGTTTTGTAGGTTAGCCCTCCTGGCTATCTGAAAACTACTTCCAAAACCATCTTCATGGTGAGGAAAAGTTCATCTAGATATGCACTAAGATTTCAAACTGCCAATCAGAGAAAATTACCGATTGTTTTTAATAAACTTTTCTGTTATGAGTAAAAAAACACACACATGAAATGTCAATGTAAAATGAACAATGTCTGTATTCAGTATTAAGTGTGGGAAATAAAGGAGAAAATACCACACACCTCCGTTCTTCAGACTGGTGCCCAACTATTGCCATGTATCTTTCTCCCTCCGTGCTTATTTTCAGCAGATATATCTCACTGACTGATTTCTTGCCAGAGTTGATGCTGTTTCCTATTAGGCTCATTAAAACATAATCTTACAGTTCCAACTTTTAGCAGTTTTTGCACATCCACTTGCAAAAGTCTCTTCAAACAGACATTCTGCTGCCCTTTATTAAGAACAGTGATAGTACAGCAGAATTAGTTGAATTAAACATCAGCATTGTCTGCATCAAAGCCAAAGTTCCTCCTTGAGCTCTTGCAAACAAACTGAACTGTTACTCCTACTGGAATAATTTGCAGAGTAATTGATAACTGCTAAAAATCACTGCTTCTTAGTATGCAATACTTCCAACATGGTCTTCCTTTGTAATAGCATTTTAAATGGCAGAAGAGGCATCTGTATTGAGACACTACATACAGTGCCACACACGCTGCCTCTCTGGGAGATGGTAGCACAAAATTCTGATGAGCTGCCCAAGAAATGCCATGTTTTTCTAGTGGACTGAGTCAGCCAAGAAGCCCCAGGTTCTCTCAGTTTGAATTTCTCAGCTGAAAAAAATCCAGATAAACACACCCTGACTCCAGATGTACTGTAAGAGATTAAAGTTTTTGAAATCACCTGAAGACAGACAGAAAAAGTAATGCAGATAGCAAAGCCACAGGACAAGAAGCATTGTTAGAAATAGGCAGCACTGAAGATCAACAGTGACACCACATCTCCAGCCTCTTTTCACCAGGACAGTCCAGTGCAGGGTCTGTATGGGAACAGAGGGTAAGGAAGCCCTCAAGTAAAATAACAAGTTCTCCCTTCCCAACTAGCACAAAGATAAAAACCATCTGTGTTTTCACTCTAATTAAAGTGAATTAGCAAGGTGGTTCAGTTTCAGTTTTAGATGGCATATTGGTTTCAGCTTTTCTAGATCTTTTTCTTATAAAAGTTCATGTTATCTCTGATAATTTTTTTTGTCTGAAGCTCAATTAATTAGATACCAAATGGGCTGCACTGCAATTCCAAGTGTTAGAGGCAAGGAAATCCCTTCTCCTCAGCTCACGTTCCGCTCATCTGCCACACCAGTACACCCCACTCTATAATGACCACTGAAAAAGGAGTTAATGAAATTGCTAATGTAGGAAAGCATTCCTTTCAAGCAGGAATTAAACTGGAGTTTTAGCTGTACAGAATTAGGCATTCCCTCCAACTTGTACATGGATGCATCTGTATTAATTTATGCAGCTGTTTAGTTACAAGTGTTGCAAGCTGATTGTAAGTTATCAGTATGTGCCTTGTACTGTAAACTGTTATTGTAATAAATTTAATAATCATAATCCATCTGTAGATGTCTCTTGTGCCTCTCTGTTATGGGGAGTTTCAAGCTGGCCTACAATAGATCCCTTTTTATTAGAGCAAAGATAAAAATGCCAAGAGAAAGCAGTCCGATTTACTACATCAGCACAGAGTCTTTGACAAAAAGCAGAGTGTTTTGTTTGCTCTCTGAACCCCATCTACTGTTAAATACTCTGCTTTCATTCTATTCCAACAGCAGAACCAACATGACGTTTGTTTAGACAGAATATCAAAACTTAAATCATCTACACTTGGAGTAAGTGCCTAGCTACCCAATTAAAGCAAGTATAAAGCTCGTTCCACTTCAGCTCTTTAACAGGCATGTTTTGCATTTAACTGTACTGACATTTTAACTCAGATTACCAAGTTTGCTGAACAAAATATTAGAGAAAATACTGGAGTTGACTGACGATGACAGCTGAACAAAATATTAGAGAAAATACTAGAGCTGACTGATGATGACAGCACACACAGAACTTCCCAGGAACTCAAACTCTGTCTACACTTTGAGATCAAGAAAACAAAGACTGTCTCTGTTTCTACTATTGAGCTCCTACCGACAGGAAAGATGGTTTTGAAGAGAAACAGAAAAAGGAAAACAAACATCGTATTTCTTTTCCAATATCACAAAGAAAGGGTAGAAGATGGAAAGAAAATCCAATTGGTCCTATTCTGAAAAATATGCTTTGTGACATGTCAAAAAGGAGGCCAGAAGTTTTGGCAGCACTTACCAAAACTATGCTACAAAAGTACAAATGACTCAGCTGTTCTTCCTACTACAAACTGCTGTAGTGAAGTGAATCACACCATGTGCTTTCCTAACACAAGATATTTCAAGTCTCCCAAGAAGCAGGAAATGACCAACTTAGAAGATCTGTGCTATGAAAATTGTATTTGCAAAAGCCCCACAGAAGTTTTTAGAAGGATCACTGAATCAGAAGTTTATTGGAAAATAAAATAATTTGAGGTGATCTGGAGGAGAAAAGACACCAGTCCAACATCTTAGAATACTGTACAGGAACAGGAGCAGCCATAGATGCAAAAATGAAGAAGAGCTGCTTACCTCTGAAAGGCCTCAAGTAGGCAGGGATCTCCAACAAGATGCCCTCACCTCCATTGCCAGCCCTTAAATGAGGTCTGGAAAGGGGCGGATCCTGGCTTCACCCTTTCTGGTCTCCCAGGTGAACTGCTTGCACCTGAGCTCCCCTGGGTTGGCCCTGCCCTCCCACCAGGTGCTCAATCACTGCTTCAAGCCATGACTTAGCATTGCCACTACACAAATAACAACAGAAAAAAAAAAAGCAGGAAGAAAGAACATTGTGAAAAGCATTAAGAGCACGACCTATAAGCTATGATTGTTGTCAGATATCCTACTTACCAAGTTATAGTGCAGAGATAACTTCTGGCTTATGGATGGACAGATAGACACACCTAAAATACTACCTCCGGCAGAACAAACAGACATGAATGTAATTCATGAGAAGAGACTGAAGCACCTTATTTCACACACAAAAAAAGATGACATTATTACCAATAAAATAGCATTAAAAATGACCCACACATTGGACACAGTATGTACCTTACATTTTATTTCTGTACATCAGGTCCCTAAAACCAAACCCAAACGTATATACAAAATCCATATGTCAATATGCATTAGCTTACAAAACACCTTGTTACATACAGGGATCCCCTCCATCATTATCCAGGCTGTTCTGTTGCTATTTTCCCCTCTTATACAGGTGTTTATGATTTTTGAGAGCATTGCTGGGTGCTGATAACTCTTGGTAAGGCCTGAGACTCTCAAAGCATTAAGAGTTTAGGAGTTCATTCTGATCCAACTGCAGAGAATAGGAGCTGCCTGTGGGAGCATTCTCACCTTAGGCTGCTCAACATTCCTATAACTCCCCAGAATCATCAGATGAAAAATACTGAAGATAAAGCTGGACTGATTTAGACAAATTTAATACTTTGACTGCACAAACTGATGGAGGGCGTGCATCAAGTGCCCCATTAATCCATTTCAAAAGATGTTCTACTGTAGCACATAAAACGTATTTTATGAAACCTAAAAATAAATAGCTAGGATACTCTTCCATACAAATGTCCATGAAGCAGTGGATTTTCCTGTTGGTTGAGAAACCAAGAGCTTTTTGTCCACTACAGTGATATTAATCTTCTTCTTTCTCGATGTAAGATTTAGCACCAACACGTGCCATCTGCCTTGCCAAATAGCGGTCCCTTGCTGACATGACAGTCTCTTCATTGCTCCGTTTGGCAAATTTGCTCATGCTCTCAGGAGGTTTTTGTGTCTGTTCTTTCTCCTCTTTCTCCCCTTCTCCATCCTTACGTTTCTGCCCAGACAAATTCCCAGAACTGGAGCTTTTCTTCTCATCCACCTCTCTCTCTCTTCTCCTTCTCTCCTTTTCCAGATCAGTGTCATCTTTTTCTAAAGCTGCAGGACTGCTTTCCCTCCTGTCCCTGTATTTTTCATCACTACTACCTTTCTCTCTCCTCTCCTTTGAATGATCTTCCTTCTCTCTGCATTTCTCTCCTCTCTCCTTCTCTCTGTCACTGGATTTATCTTTACCACTTCTTATTCTTTCTTTTTCTCGTTCCTTTTCTGAACACTTCTCCTCTCTCTCCTTTGCCTTCCTCCATTCTCTACCATGCCCCTCCCTCTCTTTTCTTTCCTTCTCCCTTTGTTTATCATCTTGCTCTTCCCTCCTTCTGTAATAGTCTTTACCAGTGTGATCCCCATATCTGTGTCGCTCTTCCTTTTCCCTCTGGTGATCCTTTTCATGGGTCCTACTTCTCTGATAGTCTTTTTCCCTGTATTGTTCATCATAGCCCTTTCTGCCCTCTCCCTTCTTTGTAAGATGATTTGTCTGGTCTTTTGTGCGCAGCTCTTCCTCTGCACTGGACGAACTCGGAGACCTGGAATGCCTCTGGCTCTTGTGATGTTTAGT